GTGCAATCACAATCAGACACCGATACTCTCCGGTTGACTCTCCTGTCTACCAAGGATAACCGTGTAGCCATTTCTGGACAACCTAGGCGTCTTTCCTAGGATGTTGCGCACTCAACATTCATCCATTTCCCGGTCCACTCGACTTATCCGAGTGGTGAACCTTCGACGCTGCCAGTACATCTGTTCCTCAGCCGGTAGGTTGCTAGACAGTGTAGTGATCAGCTACACTGAGGTCTTGTGTGATCGTGCAAACGACTGTACCCCAATTGAGGCCTTCTCACTCACTCGCAGTACATCCACACTCTTGTGGAAGCTACATGACGTTTATCAGATGGCCGTCTAATGAACAAGCGGTAGGATTCTTCACGGATCGATGCTGCCAGCTCACTCTTGGCACGTACCTTCTGAGCCAAAGTAATCCCAGGATGACATCAAATTTGTCATCCAGATTCAGTACGATGAAGTCATCATCGTACTGTCTGTCCTCTAATGCGTAATGGATTCCTACTACACGCTTCTTAACGTTTATCGATGCGAATGTGGCAAGGAGCACCGTCATCCTCGTTATAGGGATGTCTCGATTAATGAACTTGAGCCTACGACTCTCTAGTGACTGGCGTCGAACAAAGTTGTTCGACGCCCCACAGTCAACTAGAGCACAAAATGACAAATCCTTTGTCGCATAAAACTTCAAGTTGATGATTGATATATCATCACCTGGTGCAGATACGAACAATGATTTTGTATCTCGAGCAACTTTCGTCAAGAGATTTGCAATTTCTCTTGAGGTTGCTGGGTCAGTAGACGCTCCGCCCCTACTGGCCCCGCCCGATTTTTTAATGGTCCGTTTAGCTGTTTGCGGTTTCGCAACATCGTCAGTACCTCGTCCACCAGTTCTCTAGGCTGGTGGACGATCACTTCGCTCAGCACCGCGAGGTCCTGCATGGGAGAGAATGGATTCGTATGCGTAGTTTCTTATCTTGTGACAGTGATGGCATCTCAGCGAACATTTGTCGTTCTCAGGGCGAGATGTTTCGCCCTCGGAACTACATGGGTTCATTGGCTTTGATCCTCCGACCGCTGGTCGTCTCTGTGGACGATAAGGGGTCAACGTAGTGTGATCCTGTCTCATGCTTAAGTCTTCCTTCTCCACAGCATGGATTTCTTCTTAGAGCGTCTTGAGCTCTCCGCTGAAATGGTGGTTCTAGAAGGTACCATCGGCAAGTCCTTGAATAAATATTGTGATCAAAACAAATTCACCCATAGGATTCGCTATCATTCAACTTGCGAGGTAACGCATATGTTGGGCGTAAGCATGAACCTTACGCTTATCCTGTTAGATCTCAAAAATTTCAGATAGATTCCTGAACTCCGCCCTTGGCGGCTCAAACGTTTTGCTGAGCAGGGTCTTGAAGATCCTCAACGACCCAAACACGTCTGGGTCGTGCAACTTGAGATTAAAGGCCCAGTTCCTGGCGTCCCCTGACAATTATGACTGAGCAAATGCTCCTTGCATTCGCGCATTGTCGATGCGATGGGCCTCGATGGCACCGTCTTTCTCGACTAGCCATCTTAACAGGGAGTCTTCCCAGACTTTCCGGTGCTTGGAGATCTCTAGCTTATGAGACTCCCGTTGACGCTCACGCATCGACTCTGCAAACTGAGATTGTTGATGTCTTAGGGTTTAAGTCCGCTGGTGATCTTGTTGTTGCAACCACGTCACCTGCGCTCTTGGCTCATCGAGTTCTCGTTGCAAGATCTTGCTGATGACGGTATGCTGATGGTCCCTATACCTTATGGATAGCATGACCCAGATAGCTTCTTCGCCAACAGTCAAACCCATTCGTTCGATCGCACTCCATTCGACATCGCTCTAATAGGAGTAGCTTTCACGGGTACTGAGAAAGCTGTCGCCTTATTTTTTGCCCAACATGTTCATGTTGGATGTTGTGGTCCTTGGAAAACTACAAAGTGCTACCAGGTGTAACGGGGCACACCGTTGCGTGAACTTAACGCAAGGGTATCGGTGCCCCGACAGACGTACACAAGGCAAGCGAGGAAGCGTAGGTAGGGTAAAAGCAGAACTGTTATATTAATATAATTAAGTCTTTTAACTACTGTCTCTTTGTTTGACTTTACTTAATTATGCTGATATAACTGAGTGTATGGTGACGTCTCGTCACCACTCAATGCGCGCGTCTTGCGGCGATTGGTGGGTTGATATCATCAAGATATCAACCAATGAACAGACTCTTTGGTCGACCCTTCAATATCACCGCTTCGGTGATATTGTTAAATAATATTCAACTTCATATTCTTTGTTGTCACTTTTCTTAAAGTGACAATTCCATGTAACGGGCTGCCCCGTTACATCCTTTGTGTCTCCACACATCCTTGCTGATGACTTTCGCTCTCATACCCCGCACCCCCGTCTATAAGCACCCCCAATATTACCATTTATCTCATTTATAGATGAGTATAATATTTGGGTCAAGCTTTAAGCATAACTCTTACTGATACTGATTTAGAGAGTTGAGATCCAAAGCTTTGATCTCTTGTTGTTCCTTAACATTTCGTGATGCGGCTGCCATGTACATTTTCACCAACGCCATGCGTACTGTCTACACGGACACGATCGTCAACTGCAGGTGCCCTTCAATTTTCTTGTTGTCCAAAGTCCACGTACCGACACATTCTTGGTCTGAATTGCTGTCGCTAGCTTAGGTTAAGCGTGCTGCAACCATAGCAACGAAAAAAATACACCACAATGATCAGGATGTGCACCATACACAGCGTATCATACATCCGCTCTTTCCATCGCACCTCAATCAGAAGCTGCGGTTTTTTGTCCATAATTTCGAGCATAACTTCCGGTGAATCATTTCTCTGATCGACCGCATACAAAAAGCCATCTCAAATACACCTTTACACCGCGCGAAAAAAAGAGTGTAAATCGTACCGGAATCTCGTGCCTCTTCATGTCCGGACGAGCTGTGACGCTCGCAGCGATAGCAGGAGTAGGTGCAGTAGAGGGAGCGGACCTGATCACCACCAGGTCGTCATCCTTCACTCTTGCCTGCTCGAACTATTGCAAGCAGACGAACAAAAGAGTACCACAAAAAGAAAGTGAATCTTCTGCCTACCCTTTGTCTTGTACCTATCATCTACCATTTGCTCGCCACGTAAGACTTGACCATTCAGCAGCAGCACTTGACTGGCTACAGAGATCGAAAACTACGTGTACAGAGGTGTTAGATACGCGAACGAATGTATTAGTACACGGAATGTGTCGAGAGAGCGTAAGCTGATGATTCATTTAAGGGATAATATGGTGAAAAGACCCAATCGCACCAGATGATGAGGCTGTGTGGCCACCGAGTTGAGCTACTGCGTGGTCTCGACGTGAATCTGAGCGATTCGGTCGCCGATTTGCTGAGGTAAACACCTAATGGCCACCAGCGAACGCATATATACAGGTCATCGACCGTGTGCACGTGTGCGTGTGCGTACGTGTGTATATCTGTTGAGGTCACATGATGTGCCTCTTTCCTTCTACCCGCGGTCGCTAGCGCGGCCGTACGGCCTAAATGCTTCTCGCATCTTAAGTGTTGTTAACGTTCTTCTGGACGCCTTTTAAAAATAGAGGAAATGGTAGTATTGGGGTACTTATAGGGGGCGCCGGGTAATGAGAGCGGAAGTCATACGCAAGGATGTGTGCTGACACAAAGGAGGCCTGTATTAGGGAGGGGTGTGCACAAAGCAAATAATATTTATATGGTATTTTGTATGAAGAAGTGTGTAGTACCTAGTTAGGGAGGTCACGGAACTTAAAAAGGGCCACTATTTCAGGGGGGTACGCATCTAAGAGGGGGGTGTACGCATCTAAGGGTGGGTATGTACCCGTAAACCTCCATAATTTAGATATATAAATTGATACATTCGTTCCAATTTTTACGTAACGGGCTCAGCCCATTGCATGGATCCTACGCTTTCATTTTAAAATGTTCTGTCCTTTGTCTAATCTGCTTTGCCGTTTTTAGTGATCAGGTTGTCGTGTTCTACTCCAGGTCGTTCACAGCGGGCCGTTTTTATAAAAAAAAGGTACTTAAGAAAAAATACATCGTTTCTAAGAGATTGACCTTCGTTACATAATAAAAAAGATTGATCAGCAGGCCCATCATATATCAAATGGAGCTCTATGTGGACATATCATGACGAGCCTATCAACAAGTCAGGTGGGATACAAAGGAGTCATATCGGTATGTCGTTGCGCACAAAGAACGACGAGAACTGACGTAAGGCAGCAAGATTAACTCACGTACATAACATACCGACTCAAAAACGATTGGATGCAGCCGACTCAAGCGACGTAGAGGACGTCGACGTCGGTAAAAACATACGAGTTAACCCCCAAAGAAGTCCATGCAGGAAGAACTAACCTTCGAAAGAGCTCGTACACATGCTCTTGGGCTCGCACTCTGTCGAATCCGTACTATCCACCAAATTAGACGCAACGTCTCACCGAAACCGATTTTGCGTGGTGGTGTATGATCTGAGCAATGCAGACGAAGATGAAGATCTGTGGATGAACGGCCCGGCTCTTGACTTGCACTTGACGCTGTCGCTGATTGCGCAAGCTCACCTCACTCATCGGCTCGCACATTCAGTCGTCGACTACCAAGTTGCAGTCCGACGCGCAGATGACGTAGACGTGCCCATCCGCACACATGTGTACCCGTCACGACCCCGCGCGCCTCGCTCCTCCAATCAGATCTCGACTTTACTCGGGAGACGCGCCAATACCCGATCGCATTCTTCGATCGCTGGCACAGCCCCCTCTCGCTCTCGTTTGACATTCACTCTGGTCGCCGTCGGCCAGTCATAACGTCAACCTCAGTTTCCAATTTGCCTCCTCGAGCACAGAGCCCCTTACTGTTGTCCATCTCTTTCCCCCCTCCTCCTCCCTTTTCTTCCCCTCTATCGCTAATCCTTTCGCCCCCATGAACAACAGCGCCACGTCCACGTCCATCATCGACGATCACCACGGGTTCGGCACCACGGCCATCCACGGCGGTCAGGCCCCCGACGCGCAGACAGGAGCCGTTGCCGTGCCCATTATCCTCGCCAGCACCTTTGCCCAGTCGTCCCCGGGCGTCCCAGCCGGTCGCGAGCAAGCCACGTCGTTCGGTAAAGGCTTTGAGTACTCGCGCACGGGTAACCCGACGCGCGGGGCCCTCGAGCGCGCGCTCGCGGCCTGCGAACAGGGCCGCTTTGCGGTCTGCTACTCGTCCGGCATGGCCGCCACGACGGCCGTGACGCACTTGCTCCAGCACGGGGACCACGTGCTCTGCATTGACGACGTCTACGGTGGCACGCAGCGGTACTTTCGGCAGACGGTGCAGCCCACGTACGCCATTGAGTTTGACTTTACTGATATGAGCGACTTGGACCACGTGGCGTCGCTCGTGCGTCCTGGGCAGACAAAGCTCTTGTGGGTCGAGAGCCCGACGAACCCGACGCTCAAGATCACCGACCTGCGCGCCGTTGCGGCGTTCGCGCGCGCACATAAGCTGCTGCTCGCAGTCGACAACACGTTCTTGTCGCCGTACTTTCAGAACCCTCTGACGCTCGGGGCCGACCTCGTCGTGCACAGCCTCACAAAGTACATTAACGGACACAGTGACGTGGTCGGCGGCGTCGTCGTGACCAACTCGGACGAGCTCCACGCCAAGCTGCGCTTCGTGCAGAACGGCATTGGCGCTGTGCCGTCGCCTTTTGACTGCTACTTGGCGCTCCGTGGCTTGAAGACGCTGCACGTGCGGATGGCTGCCCATGCCAAGAACGCCCAAGCCGTGGCCGAGTACCTGGAATCGCACGCGGCAGTGGAGCGAGTGGTGTACCCCGGGCTGCCGTCGCACCCGCAGCACGCGATCGCCAAATCCCAAGCCTCGGGCTTTGGGGGTATGGTCACGTTCTACATACGCGGCGGCCTCGACAAGGCACGGGCTTTTCTCGAGCACCTCCAGGTGTTTACGCTGGCGGAAAGCCTCGGTGCAGTCGAGTCGCTCGCCGAATCGCCGGCTATCATGACCCACGCGTCTGTGCCTCCTGCGATCCGCAAGGAACTGGGCATATCGGATTCCCTCGTCCGTCTCTCGGTTGGGATCGAGGGGCTGCCCGATATCTTGGCAGACCTCGAGCGCGCGCTCGCGGCTGAGCCCGCGACTTCTTCGTAGAGTGGACATATTCAAGTGATATAGCGCACATTCACTGTTTAATACACGCCCGAGCATCAGCAAGCAGAGCTGTGGAAGATGGGGTGATCTATTATATCGATCATTTCAGTAGCAATACTGCATGTTTTCGAGCACTTCCTCCTACTCAATCGCATGCATGGAGCAGTTATATAGGACTCGAGGGGTTCATCGCAAAGTCTCGACTAGAAACGGCCATATTGCTCAGCGCACACACACTTCGCACATATTTATCGACACACTATTTGCTACCGGAAAAACTGACAGAGACAGCACTTGTGAGCGGGTCACAAGGTCTGGTCAACCGAATCGGCTGTAGAAGGACAAGAGGCTGAGATATCAAAAACGTGGTGCCCGTCTACTTGCTGGGACGTCTCGTCGTCTACGCGTGACGCCACGTCCGTGGTCTTGCATGGCACTTTTGGGAGACGTGGCATAGGCAGGCACGACTGGTGATCGTGTTCTCGATGTTGCGTGCTCACCTGAACAGCCAATTGGTACGTGGAGACATTGTGCATCGAGACAGTGAGTTTGATGCAGCTTTTAGCCCAACAGCCAAGAGATAATATAATGCGGGGCTTTCGTGACGGTGCTATTGCTACTGTGCCCACAAACGACAAGTCTTGCGGATACGAGACGGTCAGCTGTCGCGACTAGCGGACTCGCTTTGCGCATTGTACGTCCCACTCACGGCAACAATGGAGAGCAATTCAGTTGACTTATGGTGTCCTGTTTCACAATGGGTCCAGCCGATTCTAGTGACACTAGGTAACCAGGTGCTCCACTACGCTTTCGCTCGTGTGGAGAAGGCGTCTATGGTCGATGCTTTTACTATTATTGCAGCCCGTCAAGGCAGCACGTTGTCTGCAATAGATTGCAGCACATGCTTGTCGTTGTAGTAGCATGTTGCGTGCTTCTGCGCTAGCACAGATATGGTGTAACGGTATCATCCGTACGTACCGACAACAAATACGCGACCGAGACGTCACTGATTCCGTGCCGCTGCCCTTCCAAAATGCTCTTGCATCGTTTCGTGTTAGCGTGTTTATTCGCGTGCTTCAGCGACTCAACTAGTATTGCAAAACAAAAGGATGCACATGACCTGCGCTGTGCTGCGATCGACCTCTTATACCTGATTCCAGATCGTAAACACTCCGTCTTTCCTAGTCTGCTTCCAGCCGTTGTTCGCAAGGTAGTTGCACATGTGCCAATTCCATGACCTGACCCTGAGTGAACACGCCTCTAATGCTCCAGGAGCACGCGCAAAAAGCCATTGGATCACTTCAAGCCAAGCAAATTCACACTCGGGTCCTAAATGGAACGTACGGCACTCTGGAAACGTAGAAAAGAGGTATACTGCTGTCTCAAGGCACCTCGACTTCTTGAAAAGCCACTCCATGGCTCTGTGCGTGCACCGTTGTGAGCGATACTGATACAGCCATCTCACAACTTCAATGTGATTGTTCCCAGCCGCTCGATCGATGGCCTCCGCTGAACAGCCTTCACGCCGATTTGCATGTAGCCACTTTACAACATTCAGATGTCCCCGCATGACAGCACCGTCCATTGCCCGTTGTGAGCATCCCTCGGAGCGATTGTCATGAAGCCACTTCACCATGTCGAGGTCGCCATTGTACGCAGCTGCATCCATAGCCGCTGTAGTGCATTCTACCGCGCAATTCACATGCAACCATTGCAGAATTTTCAAATGACCTTTTAGGGCTACTGCATCCATTATTCCACCAAGATCAAAGCCTTCTTTGCAGTTTTCATGTAGCCACACGACCACGTCCAAATGTCCGTGCTCAGCAGCCCTCGCCAATGTCAGAGCAAAGCAGCCCTCGTTTTTGTTTGCATGGAGCCACTTGACGATATCGAGGTGGCCGTTCTCAGCAGCAAGGTGCATTGCAAGGCGGCTACATCCTTCCGTGCGATTTGTGTGGAGCCACTGGACTATATGCAGGTGTCCCTGACTCGCAGCTCCGTCCATTGCTTGAATTGTGCACTTTGTTTGGGTGTGCGAATGGAGCCACTGTAAGACTTCCAAACATCCTGCTGCAGCAGCAGCGTCGATAGCAGACATGGCTGGGGATGCGTCTACTTTTTTCTCATGTAAGAACTGCAGTATCGCCAAATTACCGATTCTCGCAGCCTCAACGTATCCATTGCCGACGTTCGAGACCCCCTTCTCTTCGTGCAGCCACTTGACAACGCGCAAATGACCTCCTGACACCGCACTCTCAAGTATAAACACAGGATCTCTCGGAGAGCCACGGTCAAAGAGAAGCTCAAGCATGTCCATATTGCCGGATCTTGCTGCGCTTGCATAGATATCATCACAACGCAAAGCAATTTCTAGATCATCGCGCTTGCCATTGTCAAAAATCCATTGTACAACCTTCCATTCATAGTGGATCGCTGCGGTCTTTACTGCATCGACGAGAGAAATGTCAAAGCTCTTGTGTGACCACTTGACGATATCTAAGTTCCCAGACGTTGCCGCTTGCTTGACAATGTGCTGTGCGCACTCAAGGCGAAAAGCGACGTGAGTCTTGAGCCACTCTACCATCCGAAAATGCCGATTTCTGATCGCTCCGCACAGCTCGATTCCACCCCAGTAGCCCACTTCACGGTGGTTCTTCCAGAGCCACTGTAAGATGCCAACGTGTCCATTGCCAGAAGCTTGAGCGACAACTTCTGTTAAGAACTCACCTGGCAAATAAGCCGTGGTGATCCACTTCAGACTTTGTAAATCGCCACGTGCAGCCATTTGACCCGTGACGACGTTGACTTCCCAGCGACGTAGAAAAGGATCCATCGTTGTCGACTCACGCACGGCTAAGTACTGAAGCAAACGAAGACTTCCGCCCGAGCACTTGTATCCTTTCGATAGCGTGAGTGACTTGGACATTGTATCCAGAAAGGAATCAAGAAGGCGAAGGACACCATCGTTCCCGTTTTCGTGGAGACATTCGCGACACACGAAACGGACAATGGTGAGGAGTGGGAATGCTGGCCACTCGCTTGCGTCGACGTGATAGTGTGCCGAAGGAGAGGCAGGAGATGTCTTGGGCTTCTTATTTTGGCGCATTTGAATGACGCTGAGAACGTTGCCCTCCCTGTCCCTGATTAATTTGATGTGTGACTATTCTGCTACTGCATCGTGCTTACTTTGACACACCACCCAGTAGCTTCGTAAAAGATCCTTTGCTTTTCCTCACAAACTTGGTTCACCGCCAGTTTGAAAGAGGGGATTGTCCCAATCAATAATGCCCACAAGCACACGCAGGTTCGCAAATCGGATTCATAGCTGAGTGTACTTGCCCTTATGTTAGCGATGTGTGTCACAGCTGAATGGTCTTACGCAGATACATCGTTCTAATGCCATCCGTGGCTTCGGTCATATCTCTTAGGTCATACGATACAAGAACTTTAACTCATTCCCTTTGTAGACTTTCAACTGGAGCGTTCCGTGGTCTGCATGGCCGCAGTGACCATCGTTCAGAGATTTCTTGCCCCTTTGCGTTAACACAAACCAAATGCAGTCACCCCTCCATGTGGTGTTGGTGTAGATCCCTACAGGATCGATAAATCAGGCAGCAGTCATCCTGGAAGTATTCATGAGCATCCAAATCATGTCTTCATCGGATATTAACGTGCGATAGCAAAGTGAGCTATTGACAACGCAATGCATGACCTCGAACAAGAGGCTGGTAGAGGATTCGGATAAATTCTGGAGTACGTCTTTCTTATAAATATGATCATTAGGGTCTCTTTAAATCGATTCTCATCACAAGTTCGACTACAAACAAATTTTACGCAAGTCCGTTTCCGACGCGTTTACTGCGCATAATCATCGAATAAATAATTGAAAAATCATGTCATCACCTAAACTACGCAATGAGGTGAAAGGCCATTGCAGGAAGCTGCGTTTCTCGTCATGTACACGAGTAGGTATGACAGCATGGTGCTTGCAAAAGCTGTATTTCCGATGGTGTGGGTACGATCGTCATGAACTAGATTCAATATGAAGGATCGGTACATTTGGCGTTGTATGACATACACTGGCTCGACTTCTCATTCATGAGCATTTATTGTTGCTAAAACCCATGTCTCATCGCCTGTCAGCTTAAATCGTAGCGCGTTGTCAGACGATTTCAATATTGAGGACCGCGTGTGAAACAGTTGCGTAGTAAATCGATGTTTTCCGTCCAGCATCAATCGTAGGTCACTTTCTCCACACCACCCCTATCCTGCTCTATTTGGTCACATGCTTCCAGCACGCTAAATAACTTGTAGCTGCCTGTTACACTTAAGACAAGGAAGCGTGATAGGGTAAGGCGTGTAAATTGTTCTGGCGTGAGATACCCTGACTAGCGCTAAACCTTGTATCAGTCCAGCGGATACGAACGTCTCAAGGTCGAATCATCGATGCACATGTCATAACCCTAGCACGTGCTTTTCAGTATCTGTACGATTTTGTAATGCGCAGTCCACAACACTTGTCGAATCGTGGGTCAGTTCTCTTGATTCATGCACCGAATGAATCATAGTGTTTGCAAGAGCGTACACTAATCGCTCCCCTTTAATCTCATGCAAAGTACAAAGTATTCATGATTCAAGTCAGGCAAGCTGGCGCGCGAAGGATCCAGTGATTGCCGAGACATGTTTTGAAAGCGTGCTGTACCGTTAACAGTTTGCTACCCGCCGCATCAGCGCCCACTGTGTAGACCTGTCTTCGGCAAGCATCAATGACGCCAACTGCCGCCAAGCGTATCGTCGCTAGGAAACATTACAATCGGAACGGCTTCGAGGCCAATTTTATCTAGGTCGTGGTGGTAACGGGGAACACCCTTGCGTGAACTTATCGCAAGAGTTTGGGTGCCCCGACAGACGTACACGAGGCAAACGAGGAAGCGTAGATAAGGGAAAAGTGAAACTGTTGTATTAATATAATTGTGTCTATTTGTTACTGTCTCTCTGTTTAACCTGACTCAATTATGTTAATATAACTGAGTGTATGGTGACGTCTCGTCACCACCCATTGCGCGCGTCCTGCGGCGATTGGTGGGTTGATATCATCATCACGATATCAACCAATGATCAGACCCTTTGGTCGCCTCACCATTATCACCACTATCGGTGATATTCTTTAAAGAATATTCAACATAATATTCTCTATTGTCATTGTTTCTTTGAAGTGACAATTCCATGTAACAGGCTTCCCCGTTACATCACCCCCCCTTCAGTAATAGTCACTGTGTGACTATCGAAAATATGGTGGCCACTCATTGGTCACCATTGGGACAGGGATCATTTGTTGGGTCAGTTCCGTTCATAACTCAACCTGACCTCGCATAGTTAACATGTCTATGCGGGGTGACTCAAGGCACACAGAGTCTGTGCCTGTGCCAGCTTCTGCGGCAGACGATTCGTCGTCTGCTGCTCGATCTTCACCTGCAGCAAGAGGTGCTCCAGGTGCACGCGGTACAGAACCGCGTGCGCATGATGACCCCTTCATTGAGGTCATCCACTCTGGCGAGTCAGACGTGTCTGACTCGGGTAATGTTGCAGAGGCGTCTCGATCACCGGCGACGCCTCAGTATTCGCCAAGGCCACTGCCGAACGATCGGACTCGTGAGTTGCAACATTGTCTGTTCGGCGGTGATGACGAATCTGATGATGAGTATGTTTGCTCATCACCGCGATCAGCTCGTGCTCCTTCGCACGAGCGACTTGACGATGGTGCAAGCCATCGTCATACGAAAACCGTGGAATCGACAAGGGTACCACTGTGAAGCGTGATGAGCTGAAGCCGTGGCGTCTGCCTGAACGGCTTATCAATGGCTTGTGTCACGAGACAAGCCAACACCATCGATTATTCTTATTCGATGCGACTGAGCTTCACGGCTTGGATCCCAGCGCGAGCAACTTTCGCGCTAAGGAAGACTTTTATCTCGATGTCTTCCTTAGACATCGATGGTACAACAGCAACCAAAAGTGTGACAAAGCCTCGCTTTTGGCTGCGTGGAACGCGTTCGTCCAAAACGTAAAGAATTTTGGCCGAGAAGGGTGGCTTAAGAAACTTGAGTCAGTATGCCTCAGATTCGAAAAGCGAACGCCAACCGGTGCCAGGTACCAGTTGCATCGTTTATCAAGTGAGGCCGGCATTCCATGCCTCACTTGGGGAGACCCTTGTGCGAGTTGTGCTAACAACTCGCAACGTGCGCAGAGGGATGTCTATTCCCTCGATTCACCCTGGGGAAGGGCACATATCTCGGAGGAGATGCGTGACGCGATTGCAAACTTGCAATCTGTCTACAAGCGCTTAGGGCGCGTGTTTACCGATGTTCCCTCGGATCAATCGGATGAGTCTCGTCATACTGGCGGAAGAGACCTTCAACATCCATCAACAGCTGAGAGCGGGGCTCCCAGCTGTTCCAAAAGGTAGATACCCCCGCCACTGGACGAGGTGGCTCGTCCTTGATCCTGAATCGTCACGGTGGTTCGAGATACGCTCCACTAGGAAGCTTTGACCACCGTGAGAATACACCAAAGGATGTGGTGGAGGATGAAAGACCTCTTTCAGAACCCCAGGCTTACCATCTCGACCCTTACGAGATGGATCGCGCAATCGATGAATTGCGCGATGACTTGAAGCACGAGCGCGACCGGCGCTACGCTTTGACTAATACCGTGCGGAAGAACCGCAAGGATCGCGAGCTAATCGGGCGAGGGATCGCGCCGATTATGCCACAGCGCAGCTTCAGGTCGAGCGGGATGTCCGCTCCCTTTTTGGTGAGCTGGCGACAGCTCGCGGGGAGATATCTCGGTTGAATACCGAGGTATCTTATCTGCGCGACCAGACGGATCGTCTGGAGCGCGAACGCAAGAACTTGATGGATGTTCTTGAACGTGGGGGTTACCTTGATCGGAAGAAGAAGGCTCGTACGGCCTGAGCCTCCCCAAACGTAAAACGTAGGATGTGTGCGCATCTTACGTGGCAATTCGATCGTGTATGCATTGCCCTTGCGGTGCAACACACGAAAGGAACCAATGTATTTCGGCAGTAGTTTACTACTGCCGACACTAGTGAATGCATGTCCAGGTAAGTATACCGTAGACAGTAGTACTAGGTCGTTAACCTTAAATGAAAGAACATTTTCTCTTCCATTCTTGTCTGCGTTCCGTTTCTGGCGGTCCACCGCATTTGCGATGGAGTCCTGAACAAAACGGACTACCGCCTCTCGAGTCAGCAGGAAGTTCTCTGCTGACTCTTTGTTTTGTCTGGCAGTGCGCTTCGTGCGCACTGCTAAGAGATTGTTCTCTTCTTCAGCGAGGTTGTCTTCTTCCTCGCTGGAATAATCGTTGACGATGCTGAATATACCAGCATCGTCATCATCATCCGAGTCAGTAATAGCGTCATCGCTATTATTGAGGTGATTTTCTTCATCGATGTCGACCTGATCGACATCGGCATCATACGTGACGACGTTAGCGTCGACACGTGATGAGCAAGAGCCAAATTGGATTTTGCTCGAGCGAGTCCCCCCTTATCCAAGAGTCACACTCTATAAGGGTGGGAACACGTGGATGGCGTAGGCCATTCACGTAAAACGGTGTGTGCTGTGTTGAAGCATGCAACGAATTATTGATGGCAAATTCCACCATGGGTAGAAATTCGCTCCAGCTCGAAAACGAGTGGACGTATCCTCGAAGGATCTCTTCGAGGACACGGTTCGCACGTTCCGTCTGACCATCTGTTTCCAGATGGGCAGAAGTAGACATCTTCAATCGTGTTCCGAGAGAACGGAACAC